AAAAATGAAACATTGGAGAGAGAGGTAATTTTAAATGGCTGCAACTTCTGCTGCTCATCTGTCGGGAATCTGGTCTATTTTCATGTACCTATTGATTATCTTTCATCAGCTCCCTAAAAGGAAGTGTTTTGCACCAAACACTGTGACTGACTTAAGGAGTCAACTCTTGTTCAGCTCAGCTGTTGTTTCTGGTAACTTGTCCCAGACAGCCGCCTGCAGAGGAACAGATCCTGAGCACTGTTCAGCCTGCATCTGGAATCAGATCTGCTGAAGTGCAGCTGGAAGGGAACCGCAGCTCACTGGTACTCTATGTTTAGAAATAAGAGAAAATCCAGTAATATGTGGAGACTTCTTGCTCATACCTTTTTTGCTGTAGGGTGCAAGCAATTCTGTTTCCTTTTCTTGCAAACGCATCCTCAAACCCACTATCATCACCAGTTCTGATTATTCTTTACATGCAATTAAATCTAAATGTAGCAAGTGCAGAAAAGTGCCGACCATTTGAATATTTTTCAGCACACTCATTTGGACGGACATGAACAGACATCTGTATGTCATCAGTTGTGTAGCTTCTTTTGCAGCCCCACTGTGGGCTTCCCTTTTGCTCCCCTGTTCTCAGCCTGACAGAGCAACCGCTACTCAGGATGCCACTAAGGAGGAGACTCCCCATGTCGCTTTCTGTGTGCGTGGGGACAATGGCTGTGCTAGTATTTTTGCCTTTCCAGGCTTCTGCCGGATGGTGTGATGCAGTTGAGCAAGAAACAAAGTGGTACCTGTGACAGCATGCTAAGTGTGTTTGTAATTTTTTTAAGGGACTGTTTGTGATCTTAAACATTAACAGATGCCTTTGCAGAGAGTGGCTGTGGTCAGGATAAACTGACCTAAATTAGTTTGTAAGAAACCTAGTGAATAGTTGTAACTCTTCCAGTTAAAAAAGAATTCTGATAGATAAGACAGGTCGCATTAGTTTTCTGTATTCAGAAAAAAGCACTGCCTAACAACCTACTATTTGGTACGTGGCTTGTTTCTGCAAGAATTTGCCTTAATTTATTCCCTTATCTTTTTCTCAAATAGGCAGCGATTCAGTTTTGAGAGCTTTGAAGTTTTCTCATTCTTCTAAATAATGGAAACTTCTTTAATAAACACTTTTGCAAATCTTTAAAATAAAAATCTCGTTTGGCATCTGCAAGTTGGAAAGCTAATTGGGTGAAAGCACTTACATTGTTCTGTTCCCAGAAGTAATGAGACCGTACCTCATGATGCTCTCTTTAATTGTATAGAAATTGTTCTTTTTTTTTTCTGGTCCTGGCTTCCTTCCAGCACTTCAAAACTCCTGCCACAATTAAAAATTTACAATCTTAAAAAGTTTCTTAACTAACTGCATGAAACTGGAAAATCAAAAACCTGTCTTGCAAAAAAATTTGCTCTAATGCTCAGTGACAAAGAAATAGAGACTTGTAAAGAAATTGTCAGGCTAAGAAGGAATAAAATAGCCTGCCTTAAAAGTGAGCTGCAAAGAAGTTTTGGATCTTACATTTTCAGAAATGGATACATTTTTAGTTGAAATGTGTTCGGTAATCTTGCAAAACATCTAAATTATTCTAATTTATGTTTGAGGATTATCAGAACCCTGCAAGAATAACTGTGTTGTGTTAGTGCATTGGCTTTATGGTGTGCTAGTTCTGACTTACGTGTGGCACGCGCTGTCAGTCTCTTTACTGGTATGTCTTGAAAAATCCTTTCTGGCAAAGAAGCTGTTTAAATGTACTTTGATAACTTGCAAATGGGCTGGTACTTGAAGGAATACTTCCAATACAGTACAGTTATTAGTAGTTATTAATCTTTGTCATTTTTACTTGAGCTGTGGTGGTGGTATTAAGTTTTTCCCACTAGTCTGGTTTATGTAGAACAAATGAGTAAAGGAGCTAGACACTTGCAATACCAATGAAGGCTGTAGTATATATTACGTGGTCACTATACCCCGCTGGTGAAGTTTTAGTCTGGCAACTGTATTCTTCTCATAGTATGGATTGTAGTCTTTTCAGGCTCTGGAAGCTTTTTATTCACGTATCAGTGAGAAACGAGATTCGTTTTACATTGCTGCATTGTTGTGCCTCAACCTAAACTGCGAATTGCTCTGAAAAGAATTGAAAAGCTCATTCCACTAGCCTGTTGGTCATTACTATTTGAGTTTGCCAGCAGACATACAGAGAACTATTTCTTTAAGCGCGAGTCTGTGTTTACTTCAGTCATCAGTGGGAAGCTATCTGGGACAAATGCAACCTTCCAAAACCGTGAATGTAAGGACAGAAGCAAGATGTGCTGGATCAGTGTTGAGGTTGGTGTATTTATGCCAAGATCATTCTGGTCCATTCCAGTAGAGGTGAATGCTGAACTCAACGTGCATTTGGTCTAGTGGCACATCCTGGGTTTCTGATTCTTACAATTTTATGATGCCTGTGACACATGCAGCTATGGTGTACAACTTCAACCTTTAAATCCATTCTTTTTATTATTTGGTTGTATGCAAATTCCATCAGTATATTAGTCTAAAGCTCTGTCTCTCATGTTGCAAAGAAGTTTGAAAAAACAACCAAAATAAATTTTCTAAACTCAGAAGCCAAATTAAAATCACTTCTGTCTAGAGCTTTTAAGCCAGTCATCCTTTTTTTTTGGCTACACAGAAGATTATAGACTTAAGGCTGAGTCTGGATGTTGTGTATTTCACTTCTTGAAGGTACTTGAATGCTAGAGTAAGTATGGGAGAGGATTTCTGTAGGAGTATTGTGTGCCTAAAGGTCCTGTTGCTGGAGATAGCAGATCTTGGATTTTCAGTTCAGAATTGTAATGTAAATATTCTAAGCAGAATGTTTTTTAGGGACCTTGTGTATTTAATTTAGTATAAGCTGTATAGTTATGCTTGAATTTACTCAACTGTACTTAGGTGTTCCAGGGGAGAGTGTGCGTGGCTTTGTATGAGTGGTGGAACACGGAGGTGCGGTGGTAAGTCTAATGATGTTCAAGACTAAGAAGTTGTAGGCAATAGTAGGAGCTTTTTTTGTTAAAACTCTCTGGTGATACTTGTACCCTTTTTCGTTGTCTAACTTCTGGTAATTCAAAGAATTGCATTCTACTACTCTTTTCTTCTGAAATTCTGGAAATAGTGTTTAATGTGACAAGCAAGAGGGGGAGCTTTAGAGCTTTAAGTTTATAATCTGTATTTAGATTGAAGATACAAAATACATTGAAGGGAGTTTCTTAATTCAATCTTGTTTGATAGTTGACTTTGATACTTGATACTTTTAAAATTTGATTTCTATTTTAATTGTAAACTTATCTTTAAAATATAAAGCTATTGTCCTTCCTTTGCAGAGGATGTAAATTTACTAGAAAACTGACTAGAAAGAGTGAAAACCTTAATGTAAAGACATAGGAGCAGCAGTCTGAGGAAATGTTTTTCCCTGCTGGGAAGAAGGGCAGGGGTTGGTTGTTGGTCCTGAACTCCCTTTGAGTCACCTGTTCATCTTGCTGCTGGTTACTAGGCGTCTGCACTCCAGGCCTCATTCACTGCCTGTTGCTTGGGAGCATCTGTTCCTTTCTTAGGACTCCTTGTCTGTGGTGATGTGCTGCCTACTTACAAATTTCGTTTGTTGTCTGGGAAGTCCGGATGAGTCTATTTGTATCTTAGTAGCTACAAAGTGGAAGTTAAGTATGTTGCTGGCTCTTGGTGAGCTTCTGAATGGTAACAGTGAAACTACCCATAAAAAGTTACTAGCCACTCTGCTAATTTGAGTCACAGGGTGGGAACTTCAGCTCAAATCATAGCCCGTAGGAACTTAATTCCCATTGACTGTAGCAGGAGATAGATGCCTAAATAGATTGGAAGCACTGTGGCTTTAGTCTAAAATATGAACTGAAAATTAATTTCAGTTCATCAGCTTCTTCCAGTGAGAAACGTCGTGCCAATGCTTTGTCCTTCCAGCTTTTTTCCTTGGAAAAGAGAGTTGTTTTTTCATTTGAACCACTTCTTTACTATCTTCATTCTGCTTGATGTGATAAGGATTTAAAGACCTGCATTGGATATTATCACAGCCAAAAAAATTATGTGCAGGGCTTTGGAGAGAGCCTTACTCTTAGTTTCAAGAGAATTTGCTTTACTTCAGTATGTGGCCATCATTTTACAAAGATGACAGTGTTTAAAAAAAGTTAGTAGCCATTGGTCGTCTTTTAGTACCTATCAACCTTTAAAACCTGCTATCTATATTTGTACATCCCAAAAACATGGCTTTTTGTTCTTTGATAATTTGTAACATCACTTCTGTAGCCAGTCTTATACTATTTATTTTAAATGTTTCATTGATAGCACTTTTTGTGCTATCAATGCACTAGAGGAGATTTGAATCTCCTCTAGTGATAAAACTAGGTTTATGCCACAAATGTGGAAGACTCTACAGCCAGAAGAGTACTTAGAAGTGTAATTATAAAGCTAAAGTAGACAGAGGTATTACATGTTCTGCATGTACAGTAGTTAAGAACTGAATAAAATTTTTAGAGAGGTGCTTGCTAATTTCAGCATTTTGTTCATAAGAATAGCTGTATTTATGTTTGAGTGCCTCTTTACATATCTCCTTCCTTCCTTGTAAAAGGCAAAGTAAGTATAAGAGCTGTGTTGATGAACAGCTTCTCTTATTCAGTAGAAAGTGGGAGACCAAAATTGGGCCACTGGTGTAAAACATGGAAGAAAGTGACATACATAAACATTGATAGCATTGAATCCCTGGGTAACAGTATTGCCTTAGATAATATTTAGATAGTATTTGTCAAAATATTGAACAGCTTTATTTGATACTCTGAATATAAACATGCAAAAAAAATTATCCTCAAACTCAATGAAATGAAAACTGTCCTTTCTTTCCCCGGAGTTCTTAACTAGCTGTACTGGCATCATTCTGCCTGTGAGGGGAGGGGACCATAACCTCTCTGTTTCCTGAGGTCACTTCAGGAGGAGAAGATTTCATAAACAGTACAGGTATCAGAAATTATCTTAGCTAAAAGGAGGAGGCTTTAGTGAAAATATTTAGTGCATTTTTGACAGCTTTATTGCCAGTGTGAGTTTATCCTGTCTGTGGCTTTTTGATCCCTTGTTATATGGGCACGTTTAAAAAGACATGTTGATCATGACTGATCCTATGGATCAAGCTTCTTTTGGCAGGGTTGTTCCACAGGTATATGATTTCCATGCATGTTAAATGAAATACTCATGCACATACAGTTAAAATACATATTCAAATCTGCAGATAGAGACAAATTTGAGGTTTGCATGGTTGCTGTCCTTTTATCTGTGTTGTTTTTACTCCAGCCAGCTGCTCGTAACTCATTTTTCCTTTTGTTCTCAAGAATGCACTGGAAAAAAAGAATAGAACTGACAGATTATTTTAGTCTGTGCTAATATATTTCTGCTGCAGGATGTGTCCTGAAAGTTTATTTTAAAAGCGTTAGTCACTGCTATTAGTGCCATGTTAGACTTAAGAGACTCCTGATAAAAGTTCCCTGAGATGTTGTGGTTTGTTGCTGGTTGTCCTGTTGGAAGGCCGTATTCTAGGTGACTAGTATTTCTCACAGAAGACAATTCAACAAGCTGCCTTCCAGTCTTTCTAAGGCAGCAAAAGATTTGCTTGCTCTATAGATGGCTAGTTTAAACTAACATATGCTTTGTGGTAAAGTTAGTTTCTGTGTAGACTTTTTGTGGGTGGCTAATTTTGGTTGGTTTTCATTGCCTAGCTTAGTAGCTCTATTTAGACTGTTGTTAGGTGTCTTTCAGAACTGATGCAGACATATTTGTGGATGCTCATTTCTGGCATCCACAGACTGCATTTTAATAAGATGCACCTGTGGGATAATGTCCTAAAATGGTTTTCTTCTGTCATGATCTGTTTTCCACCCGACATATCTAGTTTTGGTTGTGTTTTGGAAAGACTTTCTTAGGCTTTAAAGGGGAGTAATTTGAAGAATGATAGGACTAGCAAAGCCTGCTTTGCTAGAGCTTTGTCTCATGACAGAGTGCCTTGGTTCTAAGGAGCAAAAATCATTTTCATTTTTCCATTTGGCCATTAACAATACTCCTCTGTAGATTGTCTAGTGCCTCAGGGATCGGCCCGTGCTACGGTTTTTCTTCTGAGGTGATGGGTGCAGAAGAGATGGTGATTAAAAGGGTTTTCTTTTCCTACTTGGCCACCTACCTTCACAGAATTTATAGAATCAATGCAATCTTTGCGTTGTGTACCCTCTTTCAAGCTCTGCTGAAAACTGGTGAGCCCAAAATCTAGATATGGGGAAGAAGAATTGAGGTGGAAGTGTGTAGTAGCCCGGCTTTCTAAGGAAATAAAACTTAGTATAGATCTTGTTCAAGAATGAGTTGTAGCAAGATCTACCCAGAACTCTTTGAAGATCTGGAGAGCTTCTATTCTGTAGGTCATAGAGCCATGTCTGAGGTACATGAAAGAGAAGCTCAAAAGTTCCCAAAATCTTTACTGCAATTTTCAGCTGGCTTAGCAACAACCTACTTGACAATGAACCCTGCTGCAAATTGCTCTTGGGGAGGGTGGGAAATCCTGACCTTAGAGGCTTTTTTTATTAGATGCTTTTATTTGATGGAGACTTTTGCTACTTAAGTGTTACTGGAGGTTTTTGAAACTTGTTTTCCTGTCCTATTAAGTAAGTTCTGAAGCTATTAAGAATTCTTAATAGTGGGATAAATGGCCAAAACATTTGTGGGGGGTTTGGTTTTTTTTTTTTTTTTTAACTAAAATTGGGCCTGAAAACCTCAGTCCCAGAATGATGTTTTGGGCACTAGAAAGCTGTAAATATAAGGTCATCATAAGAGATTGTTAGTTAGTGTGTATTGTTTATAAACATCCATGTCAGAGAAGTTAAATCAGTATGTTTAATTGTAATTCTATATTATTTGTGTGCAATCTTCTCTGCACAAACCCGTGTATTCAATAATTACACAATATTATTGAGCGTTCATTTAAAATAACAGGGTTCCTTTATAATGGGTTATAAATAAAGCAGGCTTTTTATGGGTTCCAAGTACATTGAATCCAGTATCCTATGTTCCTCTGTTTTAAATTGGCTTTATATTTCTGTAAATGATCTCAATTAGTCTCTTTTCTGAAGATCACACAGTTGTTTTTCAGAATTTAATATCTAGCTGCAGATTATGCTTAGGTTTTACAGTTAGGAGGCAACTTCTCCAGTGAAGTTCTAGAGTCTAAATATGCCAGACTTACAGTTGAAATGAAACCTTTCTTTTCTCGCTGAAACTTTTAATGCTGTGTTGATTTATCTGGGGTTTTGAGTGCAGTGGTCTTTTGAAATTAATAACACTGAATTTGGGAACATCTGCCTCTAACATCAGTCGAGCATGTGGCAAAAAAGCTTAATTTTTTTCAGTTGTATTATTTAGTTCCAGACTTAGCAGAACCACATTCTTCAGTGTGCCAGAAACAAAGCTATTCTAAATGGAGTTATGGCTGGATACAAATGACAAATTCGTATATGATGTTTTTTGCCCCTTAACCACTTTCTTTAGTGTGCTTAAAATAGTGTATGAAAAATCTTTCTGGATTTGTTTCTTGTTTTCTGTTTTAAGAGAGAATGTGCTAATGTGTCCCAGTTATGAATAAACTTTCATGTAGTGTTTTTTATGATGTTTCCCACTTCACAGATGGGCATTTGAGGCACTGAGAGTTGAAGGTTCTCCGTAAATATCCCTTAACGGAGACCAGGATACCTAGAATTTGTGGTAGCTACTTATTGTGCTAATTTCATATGCTTCTGAATTAATTGCAGGATCTAAATAAGCTAACCAGTTGCAGTCTGAAAAAAAAGTCTGGTACAGAAATTGCAGTAATAATTTTAACCTTAAAATCTTAAGGCCACAGTGAAGGTCAGTTAACTTACTTGATAACATTACAGTGCGGCTGAAAGGTAATCTTTGCTCCAGAATTTTGGGAGCATTGTGCCTTCTGTAATTATGCATAGTAGTAACTGTAGTCATTCAAAATGAACCGCTGACTTGCTTAAATTTTTTAATAGTGCAGTGAACCCTGCCAGCTGCCGTTATTGGTTGTACTGTTGCCTGTCCTTCTGTTTGCTATCATGGTAGTTATTTAATTTTGGTAAGTAGTTCTGACATCTTTCATATGTTGCTGCTGTTCAGAGGTATACAGCTGTCTCATGTTCTTACTCATATGACAGTGAGTCTAAACCTAGCGGACAGCAGCACTTCGCTTTTAAGGATTTGACTAATAGAGTTCAGACTAACAGCTACCTTACTGATAATAACAAAAGATGTAAATGTTAGGGTAAATTGGGAATCACTTGGTGAGTCTAGTACTTGCCAACCTATTGTATGCACAAATTAAACATGTCCTATGTTAAAATACCTTGTAGGTGGTGCTACAGAGGGAATGATTCCAATGCAAAGGTCTTGGAGCTGGATACATTTCATATGGCTCAAAACCATGCAATTATCTTTTTATAACTGTTGTTAGATGGCACTGGGTGCTTGTTTAATGTGTGACCTGGCAGGTATGTTTGTAGAGGGCCACACGGGCTCTTCAGAGGGAGGATTTGTCATCCCTGGCTTGAGTAGCTGGTCTAAAGTCTAATTTTGCAAGTGTGTCTTCTTTGGCAACCAGTATCAGGTCTAAACTTAGTTAAATATGAGTATTTTGACTGGCCTAATTTAAAAGAGCACTGTTTGCAGTGCTTGATTTATTTTCTGCAAGTCAGATTACTGAGGAATGTGCAATTTTAATCAATTTAAAATATTCTGTTTCTTTTTCTTTGTAGTGTAAATTTGGAAAAACTTGTCAAACAGTATGAATTTTAATAGTATAAAAGACATAGAGCTTAGCTGTAATGAGCAGACCAATTTTTGTAAATTTGACGTAAAAAAGCATTATTGGGGAACATGATCACTGCCTCCTGTTCTTTACAGATGTTCTAGAAAGAACAGTTGTTAAAATTAAGATTTGTCCAAGTATGAATTCTGTCTTCTGCAGTAAAGAGAGTTACGATTAAGATTTTCCATGTTTGATCTCTACCAGAAGTAAAGGCTTTGGAAAGTATGACAAAAACTCAACATTATCTTAAACCATCCTCAAACTGCCTTCTGCTCTGCCTGCATCTGTTAGGGCTTCGCTGCTTTTGTGAATTGGTGGGGCGAGAAATGACCTGTCATCTTTTTTATCTTTTTTTTTTCCTTTTTTCCTTTTTTTCCTCTTCCCCCCCCCCCCCCCC